CGCCCAGCCGTAGGCCGGGCCAGGCTTGGCCGTGAAGCGCAGCAGCAGCGCTCGACCCAGCTGCAGGCCCCGGCCCAGCGCCTGTCGCACCGCCATGGTGGCGCCGCCGCCACAAGCGTCCGGGACTCTGGTCACGACAAACTTAGCACGGCGCCTCTGCGCAGGCGCGGACGCTGGTGGGCGGGGCGGGCGCCCGTGGCGGTTCCCCAGCTCGGCGCGCGAGGGCGCTGTGCGCGCATTTGCGCCTCGGGTGGTGGTTTGCCCTTTTGCACTTTGAACTCAGGTGGCTGGGTTGCATGTTCAGGCAGGTCCTGAATGTAAACGTCACTGGTCCTGGACAAAATCGAGAAACTGAGAAAGAAAACTAATATTTACGGTCAACTCTCGTGCGTCTTTTAATTTATTTACCTTTCCCACCAATGATATAGGAATGCCATTTTTATAGATAAGAAAACAGACATAGAAAGGGTGGTGTTCACAGTTACATGCAGGTAAGTGTCAGAGCTGACGTTAACCTTCACGTTGTCCTGCCTGGAGTCCTTGCCCTCCCCAATCACCTTAGACTCCTCCACAGGTGCACAGCCCACGAGCTTCTTAGGACCCCCAAGAGAAATCTCACCCGGAGGCCACAGTTTGAGAAACTTGCTGGAAGTCACAGTTTGTTAATGGCAGAACCCTGTTACCCAAACCTGCTATTAGGAATAGCTAATAAACGGATTCATACAGAGTGGTTTCTTTATTATTTTTCTTGCTTTTAAAATGAGAATTTTCAAACGTATATAAAAACAGAATAGTATAGCGAACCCCATGTACCTGTCATCCAGCTTCAACAATTATCAACAAATGGCCATTTTTTTTCACTTCAGCCTTACTATGCCTCCTCTATTATTTTGAAGCCAATCCCAGACATATTATTTCATTTGTAAATACTTCAGTATCTACAACTGAAGATATACTCATGTCTTTTTAAGACATTTCTATCTCATTTATAAGAGATAAGAACAAAAACAATATTATCATCTCTGAACAGATTAGCTTTAACTCCATAATATTTAATATCCAGTCAATATTCAGATTTTCCCATGTCTTGTTTTAAAGTTATTCAAATTGGGATCCAAACAAAGTCTATGTGATTTATTTGTTCAACCTTGAGCTGAGGAGGTATATTTTGTGGCACTGCCATTTTTCAAATATTCCTGCAATCACGGACACCTCTACTCTTTACCAGGAAGGCTGGCTGTGGATACGCGGCCCTGGAAGACATGTGAAACTTTTTTTTGTAGGTGTTGTTATGTGTCTCTGTGTGTGATTCAGTGAGCTTCGAAGCAAGGAGACATTTGTCTGATCTGAGACGCACCTAAGTGTTGCTTAAGTAGAAAGGCACAGACTAACTCATTTCAGGGCTCAAATTGTATGCTTCAGCAAAGTCCTAGACCCATGCTGTGGAGGAATGAATAAGAATAGGAAGCATATAAAAACAAGGCAACTGCAAAAGGATCCATCTTTGAATTGGTGAGTTTAAACATACTGAAATATATATGTGTGCATGTGTGTGTGTGTATGCGTGTGTGTGTATGTGGACCCAGTCATTTAAATCTTAGGTATAGACTCACAGAAATGCATACATATGTTCCCCAAGAATGTTTATAGCAGCACTGTTCAACATAGTGAAAAACTGGAAACAACTCACATGCCTGTCTACAGTAGACTGGGCAAATTGTGGTACATTCAATGTAATACTAAACAGCCATAACAGTGAACAGTATACAACTACATGCAACACTGTAGGTATGTTTTATAAACATACTGATGACTTAAAGGCAAACATAAACGAGTAGATACTATGTGATTCCGCTTATCTAAAGTTCAAAGGAAGACAAAACTTATCTATAGTGTTAGAGGTCAGGATAGTGGATAGTAGTTGCCCTGGGGAGGGTAGTCACTAGAAGGAGACTTGAATAGACTTTTGGGTGCTGGTGACATCCTCTGTCTTGATCCTTGTAAGTTCATGTGATGAAAATCCATCTCACTGTTCACAATGATTTGTGCAATTTTCCGTGTGTAATATTTAAGTAAGCATTTCACATGGAAGGCTTTTTAACATAATGAAAGCTTTTTTTGAAAATTTTATTCTAACTTATTCATGGTCTCAAATTTTAAAAAAATGAACTTACAATTGAAAAGTGTGTTAAGGTTCACAAAGTTTATTTTGTTGTCTTTACACTTAGTGGTTTCAACAACTGCATTTTAATAATGAACCTTGTCACACATAAACCTTGAGTTGAACTTCGCCCTGCAGTAGTGCACATCTCAGAGTGCCTATTTCTGAAACATTGAGGATGGAACTTTGCATTGTTTAGGACCAGCCAACCTTAGGGGGCATCTTAGTCTTTATTTTGGTTCTTCTGATGGGGGTGCCGTGGAAAAGGCGGGACACCAAGAGAGAAGAGGTGACAGTTTTGCATCCCTTTCCTTCTCCTTGTCCATCCCTCTCATGTCTCCTAAGTCAAGGGACATGCAGATTGTAGCTGTTGCTGAAGGAGGGATTCCTCGATTGTCTGAAAAGTTCTGTCCCCCAGGCATGCTTATGGGGTGCACTGTTGGCCATGAACAATTGGATGACTGTTTCAGCAAAATGTGTGCATGTGTGTGTATGTGCGTGCACGCGTATGTGTGTGTGTGTCAAACAAAAGCTTTCACATATTTATTAAGGAATCAATCTGCTTGTTCAGAACATAGAAACAAAGATAAAACATGTCCAAATGTCCAGATTTTCAGCTTGATAATGGTAAGATGATAGTGACATCGATCAATTGGTAAATACGTGTGCCGTCTCGTGTAATATTTTTTTTTTTTTGGCTTTTTGTGAGATCGGCCGTACCGCGCTCAGCCAGTGAGTGCACCGGCCATCCCTATATAGGATCCGAACCCGCGGCGGGAGCGCTGCTGCGCTCCCAGCGCCGCACTCTCCCGAGTGTGCCACGGGCTCAGCCCTCGTGTAATATTTTATAGACCCAGCTTGGTTCTTCCCCAACATCTCCTCCTGGAGCTGTGCCTGATTTTATTACCAATTTTCATCCAAATCCACTGGGGAATGGGCTGATTTTGCTTTTGTTTCTTGGCCAGGAATCGCTTGATCATGAAAATCTTGTGAGAAGACATGGTGAGGATGGGAGGCCACCACACACACCAGGATGGCAGAGAAAACGCTGTGTGTGTGTTCTGATCTCTCTGATGGTCTTCCTTAATGGAGGATTTACAGGATGCTTGTGATATTCAATCATATTTATTTGGGAGAGACATAAGTAGGTGTGTTTCCAATTTATTTATAGAGGCACACGGAAATCAGATATTGTCTTAATTTTTTTATTGATCTCAGAGAATTTTTTTTCCTTTTTGTCTTTTTTACTGACTGGTAACAGGATTGCAACCCTCGGTGTTGTGGCCGCACCGCGCTCAGCCAGTGAGCGGGAACTGGTCTCCACATGGGATCCGAACCTCGGCGGGAGCGCCGCAGCACTCCCAAGCGGTGCACTCTCCAGTGCGCCACCGGGCCGGCCCTGCAAGGATTTTCTTAATCTCCGAGACACATAACCTTTTATCCTGAGGCTTGTGATGGCTACATTTTGTAAGACATGTTTGCTAAATGACATTGTATTGGTTGTCTTGAGTTAAAGAGTGAATTTGTTATAAGCTTTTGGATGTGCTCCCCTAAACTAGGAACAAACTTACTGGACCTGTGATGTGTAACGAATCTGCTGAAAATGAAACCTCCAGACTAATGTTAATTAACCCTCCATTGTAGGCTGGACTTGTTCACTTCTCCATCTGTAAAAAAATCTAAGTTGCTTCTGACAGTCTGAACCAAGCAGTGTGAATCTTGATTCTTGGGCAGACGTCTGTATAGAAAGGGCAAGCAAGTGGATTTCTGAACAAAGAGGCTTTCAGCAGTGATTAAAGGGGTTCCATGTTCTCGTTTCTCAGGGCAGCGATACAGCCTTACTGTGACAGGGGCACAGGGGATGCTTTCTTAGGGACAATGGTCCTGATTCCATTTGTCCCCGTCTATTCTCCTGAAATGGAAAAGTTCATGGTGGCACCAAGGGTCTCAGGTCTCAGGGGGCCATTTTCTGATTCTCCTATAACATCTCACATCCCTTTAGTAGTATCCTGATGGAGTTTGGATGTGTTGTTCCCTCCAAAACTCATGCGGAAATCAGATCCCCAATGTTGCCGTGTTGGAAACTGATTGAGTCATGGGGGCGGATCCCTCATGAATGGATTAATGGTCTCCCTGGGGCAGGGGGGATTAATGAGTGAGTTCTCACTCTATTAGTTCCATTGAGAACTGGTTGTTTAAAAAGGCCCTGGCACCTTCTTTCTGTCTCTTGCTTCGTCTCACCTTGTGATCTGCTTGTACCCGCCGGCTGCCTGCCACTTTCCACCATGAGTAGAAGCAGCCTGAAGCCCGTGCCAGATGCAGCTGTCCCAGAATCGTAAGCCAAATAAACCTCTCTTCCTTATAAATCACCCAGTCTCAGGTATTCTGTTATAAGCAACACAAACAGACTAAAACATATCCCCCCAAAAGGTGAAACTGGGAATATGATATATGGTTTTCTGCTGAGATATTTGTTTATATTGCAGATTTAACACTCTATATGAGAATTTCATTCATTTACAGAACATTTATTAAACACCAACTGTGTACTAGGCAAGCTTTGATATGCTCAGACACAAGAATTCGAGGAGGATGGAGGGGGTTGTTGGAGAGGCCACAGGATTCTCTTCTGGTCCACACTCTGCCGTGAGGACATCCTTGTGTTTTCATATGCCCTTTTCTCTCCAGGAGGGCAAGACTGCAGAGTTTTGGCAAAGTACGTAATATTCCTAAGAAGCATCACTTAACCTTCCCCCAAAGGACACGGGGTAGGGGAAGCTGATGCTAATGTAAAAATGGAAAAAGGCAAGGCTTAAAAAAAAAAGAAAGCTGTTGAGGGCTGTTTGACCTTCCCTTTCTGGACGGCGTCCTTTGGCAGGGTTCCAGTGCTCTTTGTCTCCTCCTGGCAGGAGACAAATTTTCCCAGAGCAGCAAC